TAATGATAACGCTGCTGATGATGGTGATGATGATGGTGATACTAATGTCGATGCTGATGAGGCTGCTGCTGACGATGCTGATGCTGCTAACGATGCTGCTGCCGATGACGATGCTTGTTATTGTGAGGCTGATGATGCTGATGCTGCAGATGATGATGTTGATGATGGGGATGATGTTGATGATGATGCTGCTCATGCTGCTGATGATTGAGATGACGATGGTGATGCTGATGCTGGTGATGCTTCTGCTGCTGATGATGATCACGGTCACGATGAGTAGCATGCTGCTGTTGATGGTGACGAAGATGACGATAATGTTGCTGATGATGATGAGGTGGACGATGACGATGGTGATGCTGCTGATGATGATGATGCTGGTGATGGTGATGATGATGCTGATACCGATGATGGTGGTGATGATGATGCTGCTGATACCGATGATGGTGGTGATGCTGATGGTGATGATTATGCTGATGGTGTTGAGGCGGTTGAGGATGATGCTGATGCTGATGATGGTGGCGATTTTGATGTGGTTGATCATGAGGCTGCTGATGCTGATGATGAGGATGATGCCGCTGACGACGTTGATGGTGATGGTGGTGATGCTGACGCTGCTGATGCTGATGATGTTGATGATGATGATGAGGAGGAGGAGGAGGAGGAGGACGAGGAAGCAACGCAGTAATATTATGATCATCACCATCATTGCGTTATACAGTGCTTAAGGAGAGGAGGGCTCAGGTAGGACGGAGGAGGTTGAACATGAGGAGGAGGAGGAGGAGGAGGAGGAGGAGGACGACGACGAGAAGGGGGAGGAGGCTGAGTTGGAGGAGGCGAGGGGTGGAACACGAGGTAAGGGGAGGAGTAGGGAGAGTGGAGCGAGGAGCGAGGAGGGAGTGGGGAAGAGGGGGGAGGGACGGATGTGAAGAGTAGCGGCCGAAGGCCTATGTCAAGGTGGGAGGCAGTGTGAGGTACAAAGTAGGACGGAGGAGTTGGGAGGGATACTCGACGACGAATGATGTATAGAGGTGTGGGGCGGGAGGGAGGAGGCGGGAGGCTTGCGGCGGGAGGAATGAGGAGGACGCAACGGATTGGGGGGCACGCAGGAGGTAAGGTGGCTCTTTTCGATATCGTTGGGCTTCCAGGACGGTTCTCGTCACTGCCGCAGAATTTCTGTTGAAATCCTCGTCAAGCGCAGCCGATTCGAGGAGGATGAAGAGGCGGATGAGTGGCAGAGGTGAACGAGGAGGAGGAGGAGGAGGAACAGGAGGAACTGGGAGGAGGTGGGAGGAGTGAAGAGAGAGGACAAGAGGCACGAGAGAGGATGGTTGATAGATGCGTGATCGCAGTTTTTGAACTTGCACCCAGGGCGTCCACAGTCCGTTCCACACTTGCACAGGACAGTCGTGTTATCACCAGATCTGCGCACGCTTCAAAGCATGTCCGTGACAACGGAAGTTGGCACCATGGTGGCGCGCGTCGGAGCTTCCTTCTCATTGAGCACTGGGGTTGAGTTCAAGTAGGCTGGATTCTGCGGTCGAGTATCGATCTTGAGCTTTATCTCCTTGTTCCTCTCCTCCGCCTCCTTCTCCTCCTCGCCCCCCTGCCCTTGAGTCATGGGGGAGGCAGGGGGAGGCAGGATGCGGAATGAAGGTAGTGAGGAGGGTGAGGGCCAACAGATGGAGAAGAATGAGGATGGTCAGGATGCTGTTCCCACAGTTATATTATTGTACGTCGCCCCGTCGATACGAGGTGTCGCACACGTCGAGCTTATTGCAGATGCGTGTGCGCAAGATCCGCCTGGCACCAAGTTTTTGAATCGCCGGGTGATCTAGGAACCTCAATGTGTCGCCGCCTGGGGGGGGAGGACGAGGAATTGGATGGGAGGAGGTGAAGGATGCGGAAGGCTGGGGGAAGAAGGGGAGGTGGGTGGACATGGGGGATGAGGAAGGGAGGAGGTGGTGAGGATGTTTGAGGTGGAGGGTGAGGAAGGGGAGGGGATGGTGGATGAGGATTGGAGGAGGTGGAAGGGTGAGCGAGAGGAAGTGGAGGAAGATGAGGAAGGGGGGAGATGAAAGAGGGAGGAGGTGGAGGAGGAGGAGGTGGGGATGGTGGAGGAGTAGCTGTAGGAAGGTGGAGGAGCGATGGAGGAGGACGAGGAGGAGGAGGGACATAAGCAGGAACGCGTCATGCGAACGATCTGAGATACGGTGTGTAACGAGCACTGGACTAGGACAAGTGGCCCAGAAATATTCAGCAAGGGGCAATCAGGTAGGAGTCAGGGCGATAAAGCAGGTGGGGGTCCTTTTTAGTGGGTGGTAGTGTTGACAAAGTGTTAACATGGGGGGCGTAGCAATGTGCTAGGCGTCATGAGGAAGAAGCATTGGGAGACGTGCACTGTCATTCGCAAGGGGGTTGTAGCAGCAGGTAAGGAATAGTGGGCACAAGCGGTGGGTAAGAGGTAAGGGGCCACGATGAACGACCAGTTTTGCAATTGTTAACCCAGTAGGGTCTCTAATGCTAAACCTGGACCCCCGCTAAGCTCTCGGCTGGCATTTGAACTCGTCTTCCCCCTCCTCGTCCTCCCCCTCATCACCATCACCATCACGATCAGCATAACCATCAGGGATCCTCATGCCTCCCGAGCATCAGCGGTGGCCGCCGCGGGGTAATCGGGAATATTCGTTTTACCAGCAGCGTGTGGGGTCGCAATCCGTCCATAGACCCCCGCAACAAGCAATTAGTTTCCCATTGTTTGCGTTGTTTTTGTGAAGACCCATCGCGGCTAAGGTGTGAGGAGCAGTGCTAAATGTGCCAGGCGTACGACGCAAGGAACCGATGAGCAACGAGTGAAGCAGGTTCGCGCCCTGTCATTGCGGCGGCGACCCCAGCGTGGGCGTTCAAGGTTGAACGCCGCCAGTGTCCCAGAGTCGGCCGACGTCGAATGAGCTGCGCCATCGTAGAGTCAAGTTCGTCAAAGGTTGCGAACGTTCCAGGCGGTGTCAGAAGCTGGCGCCCAGGCGGTCATGACCCGAACTTGCCGCAGCGAGCAAGGAGTGGGAGGGGGGGGGGGACGGTGAGCAAGGACTTAGCGGCGTCGCCGGCCTTTTATGCACTCAGCGGTGCTGTCGTCGTGCGCTTGCGCTCACGCGCTGTCCACAGGCCCACGTTATGCGGCCGGCAATTGGCCCTGCCGCCTTCCTGCCGCGTTGCTCACTGGTCTCCGTTGTGCACGTGCCGCCGTGCTGCTCTCTCGTGCGCTGCCTGCCCTTCTTTTGGGATCGGCGGAGGAGGCCGTCGCACAGCGTGGCGCATGCTCTTCTCCTCTCTCCCAATAGGCCTGGGGCTCCTCCCCTCTGCCCGCCCCCCCCCCTCTCGCCCTGGGGGCAGGGTGGTGGTTTAGGACGGATGTGCGCTCTGGCTCTGAAGCCGCTCACTGATCCAGCGTGGTTGTTCATTCTTCTCCTCCCCCCCATCGGGTCCACCGTGATCTGATGTTCTGCGCTTGCGTTTTATGCGTCCCCCACCTCGTTGAGTGATGCCTGTGCTGTTCCGTATTATCCTCCCCCTTCCCTCACCCTTCTCTCCCATCCCTTGTCTTTTCTTCTCTCCCTTTTTCTTTCCGATGTCCTTTCGTTCCCTCCTCCATTTCTTCGTCATTCCTTCCATCTGTCGCATCCCCCGTGCCTTCTCTTCCCTTTGGTTCGTGCCCCCTTGGTCTCCGTCATTCCCCTGGCGCCACTGCTGTATATCCGCCATTCCCTCTGGCCATTACAATTTCGCTTATGGTTGTCCTGCGTCTGGCTGCTCCTCCTTCGGCTGCTCCTCCCTCCTTCTCCTGCTCCTGCTCTTTCTCCTGCTCCCCCTTCACGTCCTCCTCCATCTTCTCCAGCTTCTCCTCCTCCTCGCTCCCTCTCCTCACATCCACCCTCGAGCAAGCAATTACGACTGCAGATCGACAACGGTCCAGTCGCTGCCAGTTGTCAGAGCCGCGAGCTGCCCGTCGCTGTCGCCTCGGACGGAGCGCGCGAGCCTGGCGCTGCTCGCACGAGGCATTGGCGGGGGCCGCCGCAACGGGAGGCCTCGTGGCGCTCGCGGGCCCGATCCCTCCCTCGTGCGCGCCCCCCCCCGCCCCTCGTGGGAGGCAGGGCAGGGGGGGGCGAGGGATGTGGGAAGCATGGAGGGAAAGGGGGAGAAGAGGGGGAGCGCAAGGGGACGGAATAGGGGAGGAAGGGTTGGGGAGTGGATGGGGATAGAGGGTAGAGTGGAGGGGGGGAAGAATCTTTCCCCTCTTGGCATTGCTTCAAGCATGCACAATTCCCACCACTATCCGAACCCATCTAACGTGTCCCTCGTCCTCCAGCCTCCCCCGTCCTGCCCCTACCTTTTCATCCGCCCTCTTCCTTGCTCCTCCTTGCTCCTCCTCGCTCCTCCTTCTCCCTCCTCCCCTCCTCCTCCTCCTCGCTCCTCCTTCTCCTCCTCCCTAATCCCCTCTCCTCCTCGTGTCCCCTCCTCCTCCTCCTTCTCCTCCTCCTCCTCCTCCTCCTCCTCCTCCGCCTCCTCCTCCTACCCCTCAAGCCATCTGCGGCACGAGGAGCCTCTTGGGAGCAGGTCCCCCGCCCGCACGGCACTCGCGCGTACCGAGCGTGGGCGGGCACCAGCGTGCCCGCTACACGCTCCCGCGGCTTGATGGGGCGCCTCTCAGGCGGCGAAAGTCGAGTGCTGCACGGTCTTCGGAGCTTGATGGGCCGCAGCGGCAGTGCGAGGGCTAGGAGCAGAGATGGCTCCAGGCCCCCCTCGTCGCACGGCAAGCATCGTCCCGGGTATGTTGTGTGCCGCGCTGGTCCTGGCTCTTGGGTGGATTGTAATCGTGCAGGCACAGCTGGACGGGAATCGTGCCGCACCTGTGGAGTGCAATGGCCCACGCAGAACAACAAGAAGGAAACCACCTTCGCCATCGAGGACGGCTGCCAGGCTGGCGCTTCCCCCTCCTCGACCAGCTGCTGCCGGAGTACATGGCCGCCTTGGGCGTAAAGCAGGACGACCAGGTCCAAGCCATGCTGCTGGTCTGTCCCGAGCTGGGCGAGGCTGCGAAGCCACCGCCGCCCAAGGCGCCTGAGGTCTTGCTCGAGCAGTATGCAGCCGAGGTGCGGGAACTCCACACCGTCCAGGGGAAGCTCAACATTCAGCTGGTGGCCAATGCAAAGCATGGGAAGGAATTGCTGGAAAAAGCTGAAGGAGAATGTCCGAGCCTGCGCCGAGACCCAGGCTGAGGTCAACCGCATCACGGGTCTCATCACGGCTGCGCAAGGAACGGCCGGCGGGGCTCCCCAGCGGACCGACGGCGACAAGCCCGATAAGGACGGCTTCCACTTCCCTGAGTTCAATGCCGAGGACGTCGAGCTCCTCACCCCAGAGCAGAAGAAGGCGTACGAGGAGGCGCTGGCGCACGCGCAGCAGGCCCAGCAGGTCTACAAGTCGGCGGCGGACACCAGCCAGAAGGCGCAGGAGGCGGCGAGCACGCCCAAGGATCTCCGCGAGAAGGCCACCACGGCGAAGCGGCGCAAAGCCGACAGCGCAGCAGGCGTGGCAGCAGGAGCCTCTGCAGTACCACCTGAAGGAGTAGCTGGAGCTGGAGGAGAAGAGGAGGGACCAGCAGCGGGACCTCCCGACTTCAGTGACCCGAAGAACGTGGACGCCTACATCCAGCGCGCGGCCACCATCATGGCCAGAGCTGCGGCGGCGGAGGCGACCGGGGCTAAGTCGACAGCGCGAGCTACGGCTACACCATCGTCGGGGGCTCCTTCGAAGGCAGCGTCGGAGCCAGCGATGGCAGAGGCGAAGCCGGCAGGAGGGTAACCCAGAACACGGACGAGCCAGAGTCCCGTTTGGCCAGCGCAGCCATGTTTCCATCTTCTTCGGGGGCGCGACCAGCTATGGCCTCAAGGTCAAGAAGTACATCGAGCAGTCGCACTTCGATCTCATGGGTTTGGCTGAGCATCACTTGACGCAAGTGATGTGTCAGAGGGAGGAGAAGCGCCTGCGAAATTTTGGATGGAGATCTGAAGGGACTTGGGCTGCTGCTACGGCATCGGGGCGTTCGGGCACGGGCACGCACGGGGGTGCGCGTTGGCTTCGTCGAGCTACCTATGCCACTCGCATCCACATTGAGGGCTCCAATGGCAAGAGTGTCTACCATGACGCGCTCAAAGGCAGTTCCGTGGTCCTGTGGCGATTCAACGGCGCCACCTTCGCGCTCATTGTGTGCTACCTTGATTGCTCCGTCGGCCTGGTCGGCACTAGCGCCAAGAAGATGAACGCGATCCTCCGCATAGTCAGGACGCTTGGACTTCCCTGGCTGCTAGTGGGCGACTTCAACGCCACCCCGCAAGAGGTGCTCAAGGCAGGATGGCTGAAGGCGTTGGACGGCAACGTGGTTGCTCCAGAAGGCGTTCAGATATCCTGCACCTCAGGCAAGGGTCGCACGATGGACTACGTGATTGTGCCCAATAGCTTCCGCCCCTTCTTGGGCAGCGCCCGCCCTGTCCAGAACCTGCCATGGGGCCCGCGCATCGGCTTGGACATCCGCTTGGTCTCTCGCCCAGCTTCAGTGTTCATGCGAGTCCCATGCCTCCCGGTACAACTTGAAGTACCCCAGGGCGAGTTACGAGTCGCCAAGGGAGTGAAGCGCTGCCAGCGAGATCGGCAGCGACATCAAACGCTTCAGGAGGCGCGCAATGAGCAGGACCTCCAGCACGGCGACTTGCTCAATGATGAGGGCGACCGCCTGCTCGAGGACCACGACGTGCAGCATCGCACCCGACGATGCGAGGACAGTGAGTGGATCACCAGCGCCAACTTGCAGGGCAGCGACGCCACCACCCAGGGCGTGGCGTAACAGCAGGACCCGCACGTGAGCGACGTGATGGCTCAGCAGCATGCAGTCTGGGCTGTGGCAGCCGAAGCTCCACTGGCTGAACTTAGTGGAGCCGCGCCTGAAGACATAGCCCGTCGAGGGCTACCAGTGCGATGCCGTTGGCAGAAGGCGGCGCTCCAGCCCGCCAACTCCAGCTATGGTCGCTCAGTAGCCAGCGAGAGGAGCAGTCCCTGGGCCAGCCTACGTGCAGGGGGCCAGGAGCAGCTGATTGCATCGGGCAGATTCAAGCACTCTTGCTAGCAAAGCCAGGTTCAGATCGCGATGTCCACTATTCTCTCGAAGCTGAGGGCGTTGCGCGACAGGGAAGGCCCAGTTCCAACAGGTCACGAGGAAGACCAACATGGTAAATGGCGAGTGTTTCGTCATGATGATACGGTGAGTTCTATGGGTATCCGCTTTCAGTACAGCGCGGAATTCCAGCATTGGCAGTTCTTCGCGATGAAGGCCCAAGCCCGTGCCCAGCGTCGCGCCAGCCCGGCGCGGCAGCAGGCCCGCAGCGAGATCGGCAAGTGGGCGACCGACAACACCAAGGGCTCCACGAAGGGCGCCCGCCGCTCCCTCAAGAAGCTGGAGCAGAAGGCGTTGGCGGAGACCTGCCTGGAGGCCGCTGGGCAGGGGGTGCACGATACGTTGCAGAGGACCACTGGGATCAGAGCGGCCTGATGGGCGGAACGGTGGGCGTCGCAGTCGCGCCAGTTGCCGGCGATCCGCGCCGCCCTCGGTGAGCTTCGTCACCGCGCCCACGGGGAGCTAGCGCAGCGACCTACTACGACCGCGACAGCCTGGTGCAGGCCCTGCGGTCTTTCCCGAAGGCCACGTGCAAGGGTTCGGATCAGTGGGCGCCCTCCCACATTCTGGTGCTGTCCGACCAGGGACAGGAGGCCTTTGTCACGCTCTTGAACATGATCGGGCGTAGCCTCACTTGGCCGCATCAAATACTTCACAATTTGTTCGCCCTGCTCCCGAAGGGCATCGAGCAGGAGATCGGCAACGAGCGCGACATCGGCCTGCTGCCCATGCCAGTTCGCATCTGGGGTCGCATGACGAAGACCGCTTTGACAGAGTGGCGTGAGGAGAAGGCAGCGCGCCGGGGTGCCGCCGTCAAGGGCAGCAATGCACTCCACGCCGCGATGCTCTCCATGGTGCTGGATGAGACCAGGGCGCACGTGGGCATCACTGAGCAGAGTTATTTCCTGGTGGATGTCGAGATGACCACATGGACTTGAAGCTCATGATCCTCCAGGCCGTGGACTTAGGGTTCCCCTCGGTCGAGCTCCATCTGTGTTGCCTCTCTTACCTGGCATCGCGAGTTGTGAAGGCGAACGGCGCCTTCGCAGAGGCCATCGTTCCCAACTGCTCCATCGTGCCGGGCTGCGGGAAGGCTAATCGCTGCGCGCGCGTCTTCCTGCATCGGCTACTTGGACGTGTGCGCGAGACGGCCCTTTGGCACGTGTGCGTCAGTATGTAGATGATGCTTGCATTCGAGTCGAGGGGCCAGGCCAGAAAGTTTAGGGGCAGACGAAGCACGTGGCAGGTGCTCTGGTGCAGGGCATGTTGGACAGGGGTCTGAAGGTCTCGCCGAAGTCCATGCTGATGATGGCCAACCCCGAGCACAAGGACGCGGCGTTGCAGCACGTCGCCTCCGCCGCGGGCATCGTGATCAAGACGACGAAATGGGCCAAGGACCTGCGGGTGGATTGTTCGATGGGAGTTCGGCGGGCGCGCGCCACCACCAAGGGCCGCGCGGCAGTGGCGCAGGCGAGAGCGACCCGAACGAGCTTGTTCCGACGGAAGCGGAGGCAAGAGGACTAAAGGTACCATGCTGCACAATACCAACATCCGAGCGAATTTCAGCTACGCAGATCCAGTCTTGGGGGCCTCCCCTCGGAGGTGGTGCGTCGTCGTGCGCAAGCTGCTGATCTAGCTGGACGCACTGTCGGTGGACGCTGCACGGCCACCATCATGCCGCTGCACTACCAGGGCGATGAGCCCAGGATGAGCGCGGGTATGGAGCAGGTGAAGCACTGCCTCGGGTTCTGGTCAGCACATCCTGGGCTACGCGGGCGAGTTCGCACAGGATGGACAGCAGTTTTCCGACGGCTCATCTACTTGAAGGCGCGGTCTCGCTGGAGATGGGCCGCTGGGCCGGTGGGTGCGATTATTCTTACGTTGGGAGACCTCGGCTGGGGTCCGCGAGCACCAGACCGACGGATAGACGATGGCGGAGATGAATGGCAACATGATGCAGACAACCCGCGCAACTACGAGGAGATCCTCACAGCGACCAGGACTTCCATTCGCAAGGAGTTGCGGCAGCAGACTGGATCACGTCCTACAGGACAGGGGCTCGCTGAAAGGGGGTGACCTTCACGTGCTTCGAGTCAACCTATGACGCATGCGACGCCACGGACGACTAGCAGAAGCAGGGGCTCTGGAGGCGAGTTATCTGGCCAGCATATGGACCAAGGCTCGCGCTTAGTCTGCAGGCTACCAGATGGGAGACGATTGCCCGCGCTGCGAGTTGGCGAAGGACACTATCGCCAACCGCCTGTGCGACTGCATGCAGAACGCTGGAACAGAGCACGAGTGGGTGCTCCGCGCGGAAGGTTTGTGCGAGGTTGTGAATAAAAATTCGCGCGAAGGCAGGCATGTAGGTTTTTGGGCCAGGGGGGGCCACAAGAGTGACACCCAGTGCCCCAGCCCCCTTCTTGGGACTCTGGCTTTGGGCGAGATGTCTGGGTCGTGGCTGCATGGGGCCGTCGACGGGGACCAGACTGCGTCAGCTTCTGAGCTGGCTGCGCTGCACTGGGCCCTGAAGGCCACCGCGGGACCTATCCCCCCTGTGGACGGACTGCCAGCTGGTCGCCGACGGTTGGAACCTAGGCTATGGAGAGAACCCTCGGGGGCCCTTGATCCGATGGTGGACCCGAAGTCGGCGTGCCCTCGAAGCTCGAGGGGAGGGCCGCGTCAGGGTTCAACAATGTTTTCCGCGCTTGGATGTTGATTCCCATGTAAAGACAGGCCAACCAGTAGAAGTACCCCGTGGGAACGAGATGGCGGACACGCCGGCCCAGCGCGGAGCTGAGGCTGCCTCCGATGCGATCAGAAGCCAGTTCAAGACCCTCAATTTAATCGATGCGAGGGCCATTTTAGTGCATCAGCGAATTGGGACTATTCTGGCCCACGCCTGTAGCAAGGACGATCAGTCGTGTCGCAGGGAGTTCGGATCGGCGGGGTCGGATGGTAGACTCACGA